ACAAACCAGTACCAGTCCGAAGGTCATTTGTTACTGGGCCGCAGCGGAAAAACCTGCTTCATTTTTATTAATTTACTTTATGCGTTTATGATTTATCTGGCAATATTTCCACTGAAACCCTACTCATTTATCTTTATTTAAATTGTTGAAGTGTTTTGTGCCCTTTAGTGAATGTTATCTGATGGTAAAATGATAAAAACGCAGTTTTTACCAATCATTTGATGCAGTTTTGGCTCCATACATTCTCCCAGCGGCAGATTGTTTTAAACCCTATTGAGGCTCAGCTTCATCTGTCCTCTATGAGGTCATGTTGTTTTTGTTTTCATTGAGAAGGTTAGATGCTGATGTATGATGCAAAAATTCACCTCACTCTTTTGAAAAGTGCAGCAGAGTATTTTCAGTGTCAGTCTGGCATTTGCTCGATGACTCAACCCATTCCCTAAAAAAAGATTTTTCTGTGTTTTAGTTTTGTATCTTGTGATTCCTTGTTCCAGTTGTGTGAGTTTATTTTTTTATCAGTTTTCATTGTGGCTAAGAGCGGAATTTATTTTTAAATACTTGGTTCTAGATTGAGTGCCTCCTGTTTGACCGAGCAGTAACTGCCACTGGTTAGAACTGACAGAAATAATTTTTTTATCCAGAAGTTGAATATAAAACAGTGATGGCCTCATCTTTCTGTTGCTCGTAGGTTCTTCCTGATCCTTGTGTTCCCGCTCCACTGGTGAGTTCTCTCTCTGACTCTACGCTGTGTTTGACTGAGTGCCAGCTTTAGTTCTTATCCCTCATCAATTCACCGGAGTGTACGACTCGGGAACTCACTTCCATCGTAAATTACCTCACAATAGTGTGTGCGCACGGCAGTAAAACATCAGCACAGCAGGGGGCAGATCACAGGGTGGAGGCAGTGATTTAACCAGTCGCTGACAGACAGAACAGTAATATTGCGATTACTAATTATTACTTCAAAGCCAGGTAGAGCAAATATAATAATATTATATAATAATATGATTAAATGTCAGATTAAATTCTGACATTTAATCAGAATATATGTTCTGATTAAATGTCAAAAAAAACTTGAAAAGTGTCTTTTGGTCAGTTTTGTGTTTCTGTCCTGATGTTCAGTATACTGTAGAAATCAAGTATTACTAAAATACAGTACAGCCTTAGGATTGTGTGTTTGTGTGTGTGTGTGTGTTTGTAATAGAGGCAGAAAGAGAGATGTAGACAGAAAGGTTTGATATACTGGGCAGCCCGCGGCCTTGTGGGTACAGGGCTCGTGTTCGGATGATTGTCAGTTGGAGTCCCGTGACAGGCAGAGCTGTGGTGTTGATCAAGCACCAAAAACTCCCCCCACTCCGGGGCGTCGAAAAGTGAAGCCCAACGCTCCTGTGTGTCCAGTTCCTAACAGTGAGGTGTTTTGGGACAGATTGAAGGCAGAGGTGAAATTTAGTTGTGTGCATCACAGGTTTAACAGTAAGTCCAGCGCTGGTTTATTTTCCCCCTTAATAATAGCCTAGCCTGCTAGCCTAGCCCTTCTCTGAAATACATTTACATCTAAGAAAGAACTAAACCAACAATAACAGTTTAGCAATTTATAGAGATTTTGAATAAACAACAATATGTTAAAGATAAGGGGTGTGGCAAAATTAGGGGTCTATTTTATTAACATAATTATTTGACCTGGAGCCTTAAACACTAATAGACATTCGCCTCAGGGGTTAGAAGGTAAAAATGACTTTGATGAAGCAGAAAACAGACCGTAAGAAAAACCTTGTCTAGTATTTCATCTCTCGTCCCTGTGTGTTATTTGGAGACAGAATCGTCCTTTATCCTAACACATATGAGGTCAGAGGCCGGTGATCACAGGTGGAAATAATGACTAAATCAAGGTGTAGGACCAGCAACCCAGCCCTCATGTTGCATATATTTTATGTCACATGTTCACACCTTTCGCTCGGTGTCTTTGCCTCGCCATGGTTACCCCTCACACAAAGGGCAAATCAATCCATGCTCCCAAAGCACTCTGGGTCGTCTGGGTCCACTGACCATCTGGATGTGACGCCGTTACCTTCTGCATTCTGTTCCTTGGTTGCTGACCGCTGCAGTGATCATTGGTTTTGCAGTCATTTGAACACATCCACATATTCTCCATTCACTATGCCATAGAGCCATAGCAACAGTTGCGAACCACCATATTATCCAGTGATAAAACTGCTGGTAAGGACGCAGCCTCTCTGTGCATTTGAACCAGAAAATTAAATGGAATTGGTGCAGAAAGAAAATATGTCATTCAATTATTGTTGAAGCATAAATGTGAAAAAGTAATTTCTTTAAATTAGAGCAGGTGCTTCTGACTTATTATATTACATTTTTATGGGATGCAGAATATAGTGGCATTAATCAATCATTAACCAACTCATAGTTTCTCGCTTCATTTTATTCAGCACTCGTTACTTTGTGTTCCATTTTTACTCATGATAGAAAAAACAAAAAACTGTGGTTTAGTTATGTGGGGAAAAAAAAGAAATGTTTTTCGAAGTGACACTAAGGTGTATTAAGGTCAAATCAGCCCATCTGGAATTAGTTCAAATTCATATGACATATAATTTAAATTAAGTTCATTACTTATTAGGGCAGCGAGGACAGGAAATAGAAAAACATCAGAGAACACATCAAAGCCTTGTAGCAGGCTGGTAGTGAAATCTCAATGTTTTTTATTATTTTACTTCTAAACCTCGCAGGACAATTCCACCAGGAATAAGGATATGTTAAAATTATAAATAAATAAGACCATGTTTTTTTTTAATTAGAGCAAAGCTTCTTTTTTTTTTTTTTAAGTGAAATATTTTGCCTGGAATAGTGGAGAAAAATCTCAAGGATAGGTGTCCAAAGTGAAGGGAGATTGTACACTGACTGGAGCCTTTATATATATTTTCCAGCTACATTGCAATTTATAGTTATTCCTGTGTTATAACAATACTGTATTTCCCAACATCCTTAGTCTATGACTCGCTGGTACAAGATTCTTTTTTCCATATGTATGTATGGTATCATCATCTGTCCACTGACCCACTGTACTGTTACGGACATGATAGCCACTGTGTCAGAGGTCAACCACTGGACGTTCTGTGTTGAATGTAGAAGACCACCTTAGTGTCAGAGACCCGGGCAGAGCTCAGTACCTGAGCCGTGTTCTCACCATAGTCACAGGGAATGTCAGCAGATCAAAACCGAGCAAATACGTGTTTGTTATTGTCCGAGGGAAGTAAGAAAAGTAACACTAATGACAGAGGAGCAGGCTCCCACCTGTCACCACGACAGATTTACCCTTTTGCCTCGGGTCCTGAGCCAAAGGAGTCTGGCTGAACATTGTTACTGGGCGGTACAGTGTAGATGAGGAGAGTTATTCCAGCAGTTGCATACGCTACAGTGTGGCCCACTGTGGTCAGAGGAATCTATATCTGGTGCTGTGACAATAGCTGGATGTTACATTGTCACCAAAAGCTGTTATGATTTCTATTACAACAGAACCAGGAGTAAAACCTTAAGCCGTGTGTCCTCCTGAGGAGGAGGAGGAGGAGGAGGAAGAGTGTGACTGGATCACAGCCCAGGTGTTCTGTCCTGCTCTCAGCTTATCAAAAATAAACCAGAAAAAAAATAGTTTTATTCATGAACTCCAGCTGTAATTGACCATAGAAAGATTGATCGTTGGGGGAGGGGCAGGGTCAGCAGAAAATACTGTATTTGTTAGTTATAAATCTGTAACTGGATTTTCTTAGTTTCACCACTCAGTTTTCAGAACAGTTTAATCAGCTGTAAAGGTGGAACTTTTCTTTTTCCGCAGGCTCACAGCCATAAACCACTGGCTCAGCTTTTCAACAGCCAACAATTATTATTATTCATTTTCATCTATTTTTAGAAAAATCTTTATTTATTATTAATTTTGAAATTTCACAAATCAGCCCCCCAAATGTGCCCATCCTTTGGCCATGGCTTCACATACGTACAGAGGTTCCATCCTCAGTATTCTTCCAGTATATTCTTCTTTACCATCCCTTCCTTTACTGAATTGTTTGAAGAAATAAAATATATAAAAGTTTTTGGCATCCAACTGCTATTTTAATAATATTCAAAAGTGGAAGAGGTCAAAGTTCATTACTAAGCTAATTATTTATAGCTACTATAGCTAATCCCTTGACTTCACTTTTATGATAACTAAATTTAGCCCCTGTAAAAACCAACAGTTTCCCCCTCTGAACAAACATGCCATTCTTAAAACACTGTCCCTCCGTTTCTTTCTCCATTATTAACTTCAAACCTCTTCTCCTCTGCTGCTCTGACATCTCATCCCATGGTTGCTTTCATGCTCCTGGTTCTCGTCTTACATTTCTCCAGGGTCGTGCATTCACATTGCATCACGCTGACGGATCATAAGAGTGAAGGGCTTGGAACCAGTGTTCTATGATATTATAAAGACTCCAAGGAATTCTGGGGCTGACTTCGAGAGCTGGTTAACCGTGAAGTATTGATTATTCATGCGGGTGCTGTTGCAACATGTTGCAAATTCACCACAATTCACAGAGATGCAAAATAATAAAAAAAAGCCATTTATTTTCAACCAAGGTTCTATGATACAGATCAGGTTCATTCATTCTGCTGTCTCAACAACTGAGATTGGTTTACTGCTACAGTACATGAAAAACAGAAGGATCTCATGTCACCAGTGATTACGAAACGCTTTTGTACAGTTTGTATCATTGACTCTGCTGAGTGTTGCACTGTATATTCATCTGAATGCTAAGTGTCAGGTTTGCCCTTTTATTTTATTGTTTATCCTGTGTTTTTAGCCTCGCCGTCAGTTTATTTACATGATGTAGATGAAGCAGGTCTTCACATGTGAGATGAATTCTTTGAATTGATAAAAGGTGATTGGTGTCACCTTCTCCTGCCCCCTCCCCCCTGTTTCCCTTCATTGATGACACTTCAAATAACAGCTGGTCTTCTGTGGTTCAGAAGGGAAGAGAAAAGCTGACACCGACCCAGCTCGTCTTTGAATCGCAGGTGCACTTTTTCTCCCTTTCATTCTGTGTCTGAATGAGGAATGATGCAAAAAGCAAAGGATCAAAGTCTGTTTTTCACTGTGTGCATCACAGTGGATGCTAAACAGAGAAACAAACTCTCATTTCAAAACCATTCACGCTTTTGCCTGAAAGCACATGTGTGAAAGACTTGGACACGATACCTGCAAAAAACACTGATATATTCCTTGCTATTTCCTTCAAAACTTAAAATTGTTCCTGGGTCTCTCTTTTTCCTCCGTGACAGCTCTGTGTTGCTGCAGAGTTCCATAAACACAGCAGTCGCTGACAGAAGATCATAGCGCCTTCTGTTGAAACCTCACTGGCCAGAGTCTCTCCAAGAAAGGCTGCGGGTTCAGGGGTTGCAGTGCCACAGGGGAGAGGGGAGCGAGTGGTGCGGCATGGAAAGCAGCAGACTGAGGGAGGAGAGAGATGTGCTGATGAGACAGCAGGATGGAGGGCAGCAAGGAGGTGATGGAGAAGGGAGAGAGGTGAAGGTGATGAGGGAAGGAAGAGTGCAGCATAGGAATGGGGTGTGGGTGGAGGGCGGGAGAGGTGGGTGAGGTAGAAGGTGGTGATGACGACAGAGGAGGCATGGACAGGCCTGTGTGCTGTACCAAAAAGTGTTGGAGTGGGGAGGATGGAAGCCGGGGTAGGTTATGAACACCCATTGGCTGAGTAAAACTCTCCTGTGGTGGCATGTGTGGGAGCGGGAGGCCGCCCTGGTGGGTACGCTGTGCTTGTGCAGGTATTGCGTCTGTGGGGACTGACTGGCTTTGAGGCAGGGAATGGTTATGCAGGGTTACAGATGCAGCTGTGTAGTGTTCCCCGGTGTGTGCGGTTTGTGAGCAGTTTGTCCCTGCGTGTGGGTCGGCGCTCTCCTGCGTTTGCTCCAGGACTTTCTGCATGTGCTCTCTGGCCCGTTCCTGCAGGAGGCGATATTTGTCCAGCTCCTCAGCAGAGAAGCTGATTGGCAGTGCCGTGTCTGCACCTGTCAGTTTGTCATCAGTCCTAATCTGTGTCGGGCAGGGATTTGGCAGGCTGATGGAGCCCGACTGGGCCACGTCCAGAGAATGTTTCGGTCTGTTGATGACTTCTCCTGGGTCCACTCCAACTCCCTTAGATTCCTTCTCCTCATCTCCTTCTTTGTCCTGACTTTTTTCTAGCAGCCATTTTTTCCTCTTTCTCTGAATTGCAGGCAATTTTCCAATTATAGGGAGAAGTAACATCCGATCTTGTTTCTGTGGTAAGGTCTTATTCGGAAATAATGCTGAAGAAGTGCTACCCTGGCTGCTGGTAATGTCAGAGGCTGTGGGTGTGGCCGTGTGGTCAGACTGGGAATTGACCTTTTCTTGTTGACGTAAAGGGTTTGCGTCACAGATGCGTGAACCTAAAACTGCAGAGGCATCACATGATGAGAGTGAGGAGGAATGGGACAAGGAACCGGATGTCAGTTGTGGTGAAGATGAGGAATGTTGCTTCTTTGCTTCCTGCTCTGGTTCAGTTGACAGTTCCGGTGGTCCCACAGACCCTCTGTAAGAGTTAATCGGCTGCCGATCAGGGGCAGCTCCAGAGCAGGTGCTGCTCCTGCTCCACTCCCAGCTTAGCTCAGAAATACTGGTGCTGCTGCAGGGGCTGCAGGAGCGGGGACTGTGGCATCTGCTGCCTCTCGCGGTGGTCTCCCTCAGTGGGCTGTACGTCTGCCGGCTTGTCCACCACTCAGGGCTGGAAAAGTGTCTTGAGCTTGGGTGCCTGGTGCTCGGGCATCTCCACACACAGCCCACACCATCTCTACTGTCAGCCCAGGTTCGGGAGTCGGACGTGGACCTATGTGCCCTCCTGTCCTCCCAGCTGTCACTGCTGCCCCATGTCCATCTGTCCACACTGCATCTGTCCCAGTCTGTGTCTTCCGTGCTAAGGTGTCTGCTTCTTCTCCCCCAGCTGTCAGGACTTAAGCTAACCCTGACCACGGGATCCCTCTTCACCTCTCTGTTCCTCGACCTCCACCCAGTCCTTGATCTGTCAACCTTGCTCCCTTTGATGCCGTTTCCTCTCATCCACTCCCACTGTCCTGTATCTATGAAGCATCTGTCTCTGCCATCGGAATACCCTACCATTTTCCTGGTCCTCTCCTCCCACACATCATATTCTTGTGAACATCTTTTCCTGCCTTTAAGGAATTCCCTGTCTTTGTGGAGGTATGTTCTGTTTCTCACTGGACTGTTACAACAGCTATTGTCAGCGTAACGGCTGTCCATGAAACTCCCGGGATTGCTATAATGACCCCTTTCCCAAAACAGCTTTGTGTTGCATCCTTGTGATAGGGAGTGTAAGGAGAAGTGTGATCGCCAGGGAAAACTCTCTGGAATCCCGTCTTGTCTTCCCTCCCCCTCTGTGTCTCTGTCTGTTGAGTGTCTCGCGGTGAATTTCTCTATGTCTGGGTGTGAGTCTGAATCAGCGTTGTGGCTCCCATGAGGCCGCCTCGCCCTGGCAGAATAAGATGCTGGCTCAGCCTCTGGTCTCCCCTGAAGAGAACTGCTTCCTGGTCTCTGCACACTCCACCTCATCCCAGTCTCCCAGGTTTCCCTCTGCCTCCTTTTCTGGTCCCAGCTCCCAGTGCTCCCACTGCCGTCTTTGACGTTGGAGACTGAGGAAACAACACTCCTCATTTTGCACCTTTTTGATTGGCTCTCCTTAGAAGATTTATCTTCCTCCTTCCTCTTCTTCTTTCCCTGCTTGTATTTCTTTGTGCCAGCTCTCCTCTTTCTGCGTGACACTTTCGAGACACCCATCTTTGGCGGTGGGGTGCAGGCACACTCGCACGTTGTCTCACTCCTACACTCACACCTGGTCGGGCTAATGTATGTTCCCTGTGTGCAGGACTGGGTGACAGACTCTAATTTACAGCTCAGGGCTGTGATGGCTCTTTCTCTGATCCCCTTCACAACCCCTAATCTGCCTTCCAGAGGATTCTGGGAGTTTGTGTCAGAGCTGTCACTATTGACAGGGTCAAAAGGATGGGAGGCTATGCTCACAGAGTTCTCCATAATTAGATCGCATCCACCTTGTTCTAGTCTTGTTTCTGATGATGGAGGGGATTTTTGGGGGAACAGGTGTGCTTTCGTCCTCACGTCGATATGCTGCTCTGTCTTGAAATTCTGCCCGGCTATTTTCTGTTCCAGTGCTTTTACGTCATGTCTTGTCTGTCCTTGTAAACAGGTGTGAGAGTCTGATGGGGAAATCTCAGTCATGTGTGGGTTTGATTTATCTGGGAGTGCACAGGAATAATTCTGTAGTGCCCCCTGTTGATCAGCTGACAACTGCTCTGGTCTTGGGAGGTTCAGGTGGACTGGGTTGCAGCTGTAGGAAATGTGGGGTTGACATTTGGTGAACTTAAGTGAACTGACCGGCCACCTCAGTTGGGAGGAGCCATCCTTCCCCAGCACAGACAGGTGCTGAGTGTCCTTACTCACCTCTGTTTCCGATTGTATCTCCAGGACAGGTGCTGAGTGTCCTTACTGCTCACCTCTGTTTCCGATTGTATCTCCATCTCACTATCTGTCTCTTCTGTGTCCATTTTTGGCTCCGCTTGTGCTCTGTCCCATAAGGTCTGCTGAGTGTGTAAGGGTGATAGTAATGAATGGTGACTGTGTCCTTTTAAATTGTCTGTCTTTTCAGTCACCTCCTCCTCTCTCACTGTCCCTCCTGTTACTGACGTTATTTCGCTCCCTCCAAAACCAGTCGGACCAGACTTACAGTTCTCACCTCTGGTGTTTTGACTTTCCTCCACTGTCCCGTTTTCCCTGTCAATATCTGCCATTATTTCCCTGATTCTTTCCTTCATTTGCTCCCTCTTTTCCTTCTCTTCCTCCTCAAGGTCTGAGAAGACAGAAGCAGATGGCTCCAGCCTGGGTTCTCTACGTGAAAAGCAGAAGGAGACCCCCAGTCTGCCACCCACTCTCCCCTGTCCAGAAGGAGGCAACTGGGTGAGTAAGTCTGTGCGGGATGGAGACTTCACTGCATGGGGGCAGGAATTGGAATCCATGACTGGGTAGGAGTCTGGATTGGCCGATGGCATTTTGCACTGATCTCGTGGCTGGTAGTTGAGAGTGTCTACTCTGGTTTGTGAAGGACACAGTCTCTGGGTGTGGTTTGAAGGTTCAGGCCTGTCGTTGGGGCTGTGGTCTCTTTGGTTTACGCCTCTCTTCTGTTGCCGGGAAACAGCCCTGACTGAACTTCTCAGTCCGTGTTTCTTCACAGAGTCTCTGCAACAACAGGTGAAAAGGCAGATTTAGTTGACTTTAATTCACTTTGACTAAAACACACAGAGCCAGGGGTCGAAGTCCAATCGCTTTTATAATTTATACATATGGAGAGAGAGGACGTCAGTGGGTTTGGACAAGGAGTGACTATCACTGACAGAAATGTCTCTGCTGCTAATCTAGAAGGATTATCAGAGACTAAGGCCTCAAGATCCAATCTAGTTTATATCATATGAATGGATTAGGAATCATTTAAGTTTGTTCATATTCCATTGTCTTTTAGGTATTTTATTTACCTGTAAACAGATACCGTTTTATCAAATCTATCTAATAATACTTTTGACTTAAGTAGATGTTTGTTGGGTTCTGGGTTGTGTTAGAGGTGTATGAAGCATCAGGTCATTAATGGATTTATCGTTATGTTTTTTTTCTTCCTATAAATAAATTCATCATGTCTTTTATTTATTTACAGTCAACAGTTTTTGCAAACCCTGAGTCATGACTTATTTTGTCGCAGACTTCATTCATTTTATTTACTCTTTTTTTTCTCTTCTCACTCTAGTCATTCTACCCTGAACTCAATTTGCTGCACCTAAAAATAATCTACTCTCAGAGTCTTAGCGAGAATGAATTTTGTTTCATTCACTTCACCTGTGGCCCATGTAGGCCAACTGAGTGCTCTCACATCTGTGGATGCATCCATCAAATTTGGGAAATGTTGACTGGATGTGACACACCGTTACCTCTCTGGACTACAGCCCCTGGACTCATTGCACACACACACACACGAGAAGACGTGCACGAACTCAATCACTTACCGCTGACTCTCCTGTTGCAGCTGTGCAAGTTGGTGCAGGCGTCTCACAGCTTTCTCCTGTTTGCGTTGGTCTTTCCATGATTTCGAGGCTACGTTCCGAGCGAACTCCCTTTGCTTGAGGTCCTTAAGCCTCTGCGGGAAATGGAAATGAAAGGGCAACCATGTTGGAACAGAGAGGGTATATGAAAAGAAGGGGGGAGCGAGGAGGAGAGGGAGATGTGAAAGTGGGGCACAGGGGAGCAGAGGGAGAGAGAGGGAGAGAGATTAGTCACCCATTTCTCTCTGGAGGCAGCTGTCTTTCAAATCACACACATCATCAGCATCTGCAGATGTTCTCCTTCAAAGCTCACGTCCAATTAATTTCATTCAACTTGTGAAGAAGCCGTTTTCCTCCACCGTGCAGCTCCAGCGCAAACACGGCCCAACTGTTGAATAGCGGCTGACTGAGGCAGTGAAGATGATTTAATGATCTAATGATGATGATGCCTTCTCCGAGTCCGTTGAATTAACACCGTTTCTTATTACCCCTCTCTCCTCAGTCTTATCACAACAGCTCAGAGTCACAGCCTCTGATGCAGAGACATCTGCTTTGTTGCCGGAGCGAAGAAAAGAAGGTGATTTACTAACGCTGCAGTTACACATCATTACACGCAAAGGCTCCGTCATTGATCACTGGCAAAATAACCATGAGAGTCAAAATGAAGGCCGAGGAGTTCAGTCAAAAAAAAACAATTTTGACGGTCCGCCGTGTGCATTTTTGTCGTGCACGTAGACAAAAGCAGAGAAAACACACTGTGACAGAACGTGCGTGGAGGTTCTTCATCATCCAGGTCATTGTGTCCTTAGCAGTGTAGATATTGGCTATTGCTCTGTTGGGTTTCCTGAAGATGCTTCATCCCTCTGGTCTTATTCCAGAGACGAGTCCCGGGGACAAGTTGACAAAGAGCCGCAATTCACTGTGTGATTTCTTACTGAACAAATGTTGGGTTTTCACCTCCATCACAGAGCAGAAAAAAAAAACCCATTTAGCGCCATCGTCTGCTGCTGTCGTGTGTGTGTGTGTGACTGTGTATTTATGTGAGAAGATGTGTCTATAGGTGCATAAGTCCTCAGAGGGAAATGGTGATTCATGCCTCTCACTCTCTGGTTTCCTTTTCTGACACACTTTAATCCCTCCTTTATCCAGGCTTGGCAGGTGTGTGTATCTCAGTGTGTTATTTTCTGTCTCTCTGTGTGTCTGCCTCTGTCTCAAATCTAAGGAAAAACTCTAGAGTTTGGAAAGGATGCCAGAATGTGCAATACCATGCAGCATATTTTCCATTTTCCATAGTCGTTTCTTTTTTTTTCGTCTCTTTGTTTTCTAGCACACATTAACTCCGCCCACCTGTAGCCAACAAAATTCAGACTTGATTGTTTATTCTCTACATTTGTGAACTATCCAGTAGGAGATTAGGTTATGCTGCCATCCACCCACACAGTGAATCACGAACACATCAGATTAGCCTCTCAGACATTGGATTTATTTATACGCTCACTCTTTTTCACACCCAGATCTCCGGCAGGAGCTGACAGTTGTCAGGTTAATCTCTGCTGAGTCCTACACAGGCGAGTGTCTTTTTACATTATCACTCACTGCTTAACATCCCGCTGTCAGCTCGTCGGAGGCAGCATTAACGACGTGCTGATGGAGCAGCATCTGTGGGCTTGAACATATGTCCCAAAGTGTAGGTGAAGAGTGTGATCACACAGGAGGAAAGAAAAAGTGTATTTTTGCAGAGGTGGTGTTGTAGGGGTGTGGTTAGACCGGCGACTCGGATGAGAAATATTCATGGTCTTCATGCATAAATAAAAATTACAGGGATTGATGGGAAAAACAGCAAAAAGTAATTCAGTAATGTCAGAGCTCAGGAGAAAAGCTGTCTTGTTGTTGTTGTTGTTGTTGTTGTTGTTGTTGTTGTTGTTGTTGTTGTTGTTGTTTTGCTTGGTTGTTGACGTTGTTTTTTTAAAAGTGACCAGAGTCAGACTCCAGTGTAGAAAGTCTTTGGTGCTGAAGTGTAGACACCACATCATATGCTGTGTTTTAAACCATTGATATTTTCTCAACAATGGCCATTTAATTTTTTACCAACAACTGCCAAAAAAAAAAAAAAAAGCAATCCATCTTTTACACATTCTCCAACTGGGTCACCCACATCTGCAGCCATCACTCAGAACAAAAGCAATTTTTCACTCATTTGCATTTTCCAGTTTTCTGACTCTAAACACAACAGGTCCGACCTGCAGGAATATCCAGAGCCCAAAGGATTTACATCACACACTAAGCTATTTTCAGTAAGTGCACGGGCAGAAATATTTCTCTTTTGATGCCAATCCTGGCGTCTTCAAATAATCTCACTGCGGGATGACATATTTCTGTGCTCTCCGACACGCGTGTCAAACGATGTGCTACGAAGCCGAGTGTCTGAGGAGCTCTGATCAATATTCTGTTAGATGTGTGAAGGAGTCATCAGGCTGAGGCAACTATGAATGAGTCATAGTTGATTGCTCCTTTATTTAAAAGGGAACGTAATTTCGTCGTAATGAGCAATTTTCAGTAATCAGCAGTAAATGCTGATGAAGCGCCGGCTTCAGACATGTTTATTCCTGAATCAATGACGAGGAAAGGAGACAGGACAAATGTATTCAGCTTCCATTCCCCAAAGCCAATACTCCTGCAGGGAAGCTGTCTTCAGCTAGAATTTCATCTGTTGTCTGCACGGTAGGCACGAGTGTGCATGAATGCCTGTATACGTGTGTGTGAGTGTGTGTGTGTGTGTGTGTGTGGTGTGTCCCCACAGTGCCACTGGCTCCTGTCAGCTCAGTGCCTCATGCAGCTCGTTTCATGTGCCTGCCTCTGGCTAAAACAAAGCATTAACATTGGCCTGCAGTCGCCTCGATTCATTTTCAAAACAACAATGACAGAGCAGGGACAGTCTTACTTAATGTTTATTTCATGTTGCAGGGAGTAGGCGTCTGTAAGTAGGAAGCGGCTTAGCCCTGGATGAGGGTTTCACTCTGTTTGAGGACGAGCGTGTGTTCATGGGCGAGCGTACAGCTGTATGTGTTTTGGCATGACAACATATAGCCGCAGGATAATCAGCAGAACTCTCCACTATTAGTCACGAATGAAGGTGGAATATAATGTGAAAAAATCCGCTCCTCGCTGCGTTCTTTCTCGTCTACTGCTTTAGTTTTGTACAACTGTATGTTTTTACTGGTCTCACAGTTTTAGAAGCTGGAGGTTAGCACACCTTACCATTTCATCGTCTTTTGCCTTCTCAAGACAATTAAACCTTTGCCTAAAGCAGTGGTTCCCACTTCAGATCACATTCCCAAAGTTTTTTTTTTAGACGACCACAGGTTCACTGTTCTTTAATATGAAAAATGAAATTAAAGTCAATAATACCCAACGTGAAACTTCATCAGATCCCGCGGCGAGCGCCTGTGAGGCGGACTCTAACGTGTCGTCGATCTGGCTCTAACTCACACAGACTGGATTTTTCATTTATCATCCATGGGCAGTCGTGGGAATTTATTAGTGTAACTTGATATATTTATAACTCACAGATTAATGAGAGGGATTTGTGCTGACATCCATAAATTAAGGTGTGCATTTGTGTTTGGTTTGCAGTAAAATATGGTTAAATATTAAAAGATCCTTCCATGGGTTATACCTGGAATTTCTTGCTGACAGTTGGTTTTCTTATGTAGCGCCATTTTAGTCATATATATATATATATATATTTATATATATATATGTGTGTGTGTGTGTGTATTTATTGTATTTTCTTCTATGGCAATGAACTGCTCACCTCTATGAATGTGTATCATGGAATAACTTAGGGGTATAAGAAAATATAGATACACTGAAATATCACGATATTGCATTTCACAATACTGTATCGATATTGTACAGCACTGTGTTTATTTTCTTTATCAACAATTAGCAGGCAAATATTCATGGCATTGGTTCATTTTATTTTGCTTTTATTTCTTCTCTATTCATTACAAATATACATCCATCTGTTGTGGTTTAAAATGCAATATATCATCACAGCATATTGCAATGTATTGTATCATTGCCGCTGTATATACATATCGTATCGCCAGATATTTGCCAATAAACAAAATAAATACCGGCGGAGATGAGTAAAGTAACGCCGGGCTAAATCCCAGTTCTCATTGGCCGTAGGCTTCATTAGAACTGTCAAACTGTAGGGACAAAATGCTGCTGCCTACGTTCATGTTATTCAGGAAGATATATTTCTCCCTAAACGGCACGAGGGTGGATGTGCCGGCAGATGAGCTTCTTCTCCTTATTCTGTGCCTTGGTGGATGTGCATGTGTATCCAGTACGTGAGCGTGCACAGTTTTATAAAAGAGGATGATTATACTTTCTAGAATAAAATCCTGTGGGTGGAATCTAGTCAAAATAAATTCAATGCGTTCTCCCAAGAAAAACTGTGTCACAGCAGACCAAACTCAATTCAACAGGAAGAAAATTCAGATTGTAATTGAATGTTTCGTGGTACAGTGGTGTGCGTGGTTGTGTAACAGGCTCATCGCGCTGTACTGTGTACTGTACCTGTTTGTGTGCGTGGTCGTAGGAGTTAATGTGGTTGTCAAACTCCTGGTGTCGTAGATACTGCTTGTCACACAGCTCGCAGTAGAACAGAGATTTCAAATCCTCCAATGAGCAGCCAAGAGTCCCATCTGAATGCTCCTGGAGGGGAGGGGGGGTGGAGAGGAGGGGGAGGAAGAAAGGGTGGTATGAACGTTTTGTTAAAATGAAAATAAGGAAACAGCAAAAATTTACCCAGAGCCACAAACACATGTAGATCACTCCAATGATGGCAGTAGTAGTAGTAGTAGTAGTAGTAGTAGTAGTAGTAGTAGTAGTAGTAGTAGTAGTGTATTACACATATACATGCAGGCTATCATTAGTTACACAACAGTATTCAATATTTAAGCCACAAAAATAGGTACAGGTAAAAATGGCCACACCCGTCTGTTGTTTTGCTAAAAAAATAGTTGTGTCATTGTATGTGTACATGCGCTCATATATGTACTATAACCCTGGTCAGCCATGATTGTTTGCACAGTCAGATTATGTGGTTCATTCACCAACATCATATTCAGTCTCTCAGGGAGCTGTCGCGACGAGGCTAAAGACGTGGCTCGGGAGCCACAGGTTGCAGAACCCCTTAGTTAGGTAGAGTTCAGTTGTCTATATGAAGTGCTCACAAAGACTGAAAACCATTGTGTGTGTGTGTGTGACTTTGTTTGGGGGTCAGAAAATGGCAGCCTGTAAGTCATTTAGCGATTGTTGTCCATTTGGAGTGAACCTGCGTCCCACAGACATCAGCAGTAACGGCTTCTACATGTGCTCTGTATAAAACTGTTAAATGGCTTCCCATTAAACTGTGCTGCCTCCGCGGATGTTTCTGGAGGTCGGACAAAGAGACTGACAATCAATGCTCGTAGCAGTCTGAGCCCGGGGACATATTTGAAACGACCAGTGTAATAGAAACCTGGGTTTGTACCGTAATGGCAGACAGTCTGAGTCTGACTGCTGTTTAAGAGGAAATATCAGCTCACAGACAGAAGGGCAAAAAAGAAGCTCTAATCTCATTCTTGTGGCTTTTGGCTGAGAGAAATTATGTACATTTGACAAATCATTCAATAACAGCACATTAATCTGTGTCAGTATCACAATACCGATAATGTCAGAGTCAGGAATTAAAATTTTTGCATACATATGAACATATATATATTTTAAAAACAATCAAACACAAACAAGTGAATTATTTACTAAAATCCCCTGTAAATATTCAGGTCATTTCTGAAAGTAACCGACTGACCTGGCAGTTGAAAACTCTGCGAGCTGGAATGGATTTGAGCGCAACTGTTCATAGTGAAAATTGCTCAAAATTGCTCATTTCTATCAATTGCTCTGATGATAGAAATACAGTCACTTTGAGCTTTGCATAGCAAATAATATACCATCAAAGGCTCTCAACATTGTTGGACGTTCTGCATCAGTTTTGTGCTGTAGCTTTTCTGATACGGACATAAATATATTAAAATGTGTTCAACAATCAGATAAAAAACAAAAAATCTATAACATATATCTGTGTTTGTATTTAACCACATACACATTCACTGTATTCTTTACAACTGTAAAACAGTTGTTTATGTCAATGTCAACTAATTATAGATTGTATGTAATAAATGGATGTAACTCTCCAGTCCCCAGAAATGGTTCCCTATATAAAACATGAACAAAGAGTTAGTTTGTAAATGAGGTCACATGTTGCTCTACTTATGATGTGACGACACAAGTTTCCTTTAGAGAGAAATTTCCTTTTTCAGAACTTAATATAAAACAAATGTTTTCCCCTTTTTTCTTCTATTAAAAAATGTAATTTTTAAACCACAGTCAAGGCTTTAAAGTAGCGGTTCTCAAACTAAAGTACATGTACCACAGGCGTACTTCTTTAGGAAGAGAATTTTATTTATTCCATATGCATTGTCAAAAATATTGGATTTTAAAAAGATTTTTAAAAAAAAGCTTAAAAAATGCAGCCTTGGCTCCGAACTGGAACTCTCAGAAAGGGAGGATTTTATCAACGGGGGCCGCGCTGCTGAGACTGAGGCTTTTTTTAAAAATTGAAAATAAGTTCCAGTTTTACTGCTACCTCCTTAAACAGTACGTCTACGGCTGACAAACAGACCAATAACCTCATCGGTAATAAATCGTCTTCATCGATCACAGATCACTGTATTTTAATGTCGGTGTGAATGGTAGTACTTGGAGAGTCAAGTATTTTAAGAGGTGGTACTTAAATAACATCTTACTGCATCACTTTGATGGAGTTTCGTTAATACTTTTTGCCTCAGTCTAAAAACGGTCGGAGCCAAAATGATCGTCTGCCGCTGGTTTTTGAAGCTGTGGTCCAAACCCACCGGGGAACATTTCAGCCGTTGTACGTCAGCGTGTTTTACTGCTACAGGTTGTTATATAACGTGCTAGCTTGTGATTTGCATGTGTATGATTTCGCTGTACAGCACGTGGATAATTTGGGTTTCAAACATGCACGGTAGTTCTGACTAATGTCCCAGATGGCTGCTCTGAGTTTTCACGACACAAATGGCGTACGGACCTCCGGGGATTAACCCCTTGTCTGCACGCTTGAATCAGCCTGAGGGCTTTTGGGGTTTGAGGACAAGTACAGTGTTTTGTAGCTCGGTGTGCTCGTGCATATGTCTGTGTGTGTGTGTCCTGCTGTGTGTGTGTGTGTGTGTGCATTCATGCCCTGCTCTGCTTCAGAATGTAATTTCCCTCAGGCTAGGGGCTGCCAATAAACACTATTGAATTGTGTTCTACACTGACATGATGGGAATTTAATTTGTGGTTGTCACTTCTTTCTCTCCTTCACTGCTTCACTTTTCTCCTGCTCTCAATCTCTGACTCCCCCTCCTCCCCCCTGATTCTCTCTCTGGCTCTCTTCTGGGTTTTTGAATTTTTGAATGATTTTTTTTTTAACACTCCCTTAACTCGCTATCTTATTTCTTTTCAGGATCTTGCTCTACATGCCTGCCCAGCCGTCCCCCTCCCCCCCCCCCATCCCTGCCTCACTCTCGTTTCTGTTCGGGGCCCTCCGGGTCGTCCTGTGACAGAGACTGTTGGCCCCAATTTGCCACAGTAAATGGCAACGCACAGGAACAGAGGTGAGAGGCAAACGAAAAAGCTGACAGCAACACAGGTACGAGAAAAAAAAAACAAAAAACGGACACTTCCTGTCCTCGCCCGGCCACAAATGCACACGTTCCCTTTTACACATTCACTAATGTCCCCTCCATCTCTGGTAGTCTCGGCGGGTGTGGAATGAGGGAGAGCTGAGGGACCACACGGCTGACAGAACCCTTACCAAGCTTTAATCAACTGACAGGTAACTAATATTCATTGATCCCTTGATCCTGTTTTCGTGTATTTGTGTGTGTGTGTATCAGCTGTGGGTGTGTTGTGTGTGCTCTATTGATCCGACTCTAAGGATTAAGTCAAGACCAGGAAATGATCCCATCACCCAGCGCAGCCTGGCTCTGAGTGCTGCTGGGGTTAAGAGATTGAAATAATAAATAGCACGTGTTTGTCGGCCTTCAAGGGTTAGTGGGAAAAAATATATATATCTGTGGTTTGATATGTCGGCTCATTATACCTGTGTAAATGTAAACCCGTGTGTGTATACTGCTCCTGTATGCACTGTATTTGCCTTCGTACTGCGTAACCCTTCCCTCTCACCTAGCTGGGTAATTAGTTTTGAACAGTGATATATAGACGGTGCAGCGTGGGCCCGGCGTTGACAGTGTACGTTGGGCTCGCTACCGCTAGTATTAAATGAGCTAAGAGGAGAACTGTCGATTTTAATTTATGGCGCTACAGTGAGAGGTCAGAGGTCACCGTCATTATAAACAGGAGGAGACGTGATCCAAGCACTGACTGAGGGTTCACAGACAAAACAACACCTAACATGGTCCATTTGTTAGACAGGACTTCTCACCTCTGTGAGGAAATTGTATGTTTACAGTATATTTATAGGCGGTCCATAAATATATACCTCAACCTCAGAAAACCTTGGTTTACTACGACATGAACAAAGGTTTTTGATTTATACGTCTACTGTTATACTCCACTTTTTTTCTTCTTCAGGGTTACAGGGGGCGCTAGAGAGTTCCAGTTATGGGGGGGGAAAGGGGGGGGTTACCCTGGACCATTCGCTAGTCCTGTGGTTCCCAAATTTTCTATGCCAAGGCCAAACATTACCTTCTGCCTGGAGAACCCCTTCGCAAATGCTACAAAATGTCAACCTTTTAGAATGTATTTTCTTACTTTCACTAGTTAGCTACATGCTGGCTTGAGGACCAAAGCAGCAAACCACCAGGTCAGGCACAGATTATGATGTTGTCACACGAGGTGTGTTTAGGTACAAGGAGAACATGCAAACTCCAGTCAGACCATTAATTACTGCCAGGGTTCGAACCTTTGACCTTTTTGCTTCAAAACCCGAGCACTTACCAACTGTCCACCATGCAAATAATATGTTTTTTTTTCTAACTTTCTAGCTTTTTGTCTACATGCCCCAAGTTCCACTAACTGCTATGCAGAAACATCCACACACTACACTGCACCTTCTTATGCATGCACAGTCACAGCCTGTCAACCTCACACAGCATCGCTAAATTAATCTAGACCTCAATTTACCTTGCCAACATAAATCTGTTTGCAGGAGCGCAGCAGCTACATCTGCAGACCTAAATGAGCAGCAGTTGTTTGCATTGATTCCTGTCTGAATGTTCACAGACAACCGAGAATGTTTTTTTTTTCTCTCATTATTTACTTATTCATTATGACTGTTTTTTTGGCGTGTCAATGATTCAGATACATTTTTAATTTTTTAGGTCACATCTGTTTAGGATGTTTGTAGTTGATCTGTGCAGGACGTTCAGCTTAGAATACAGCTGTAATGCTTTGACACAGAACCACAGTCACATGATCATCCGATTATTCAGCCCTGTTAGGCATAATAACCAGGTTTTCAATTAAACGAGAGTAGGTTTAGTGGGAATAATTGGATGAGAAAAAAACAAATTCATAAAAAAATACTTTCAACGAATTATTCCTTTTAAATTCATGTTTTTCCTTGAGTTTGTAAACTTGAAAAT